TATTAGATGCATAATTGCATGTAAAGATTACATACATGTAATAATTAGATTCGATAATTTGTAGAACAAATTATGGCTCAATCTATGTTTAACACCTGAATGTTGACCTCTCATGCTCAATTTTGTTTCATAAACTGCACTCATAAACTAGCCTTGAAAGTTTCATAAAAATTTGTACATACAACACGAAAGGAGAACACATATTGTGTAATACAACATCAATTGTAGCAATTTATGTTCTCACTGCATGAGGTGTATGTGTCACTAATGTTCATTTCTTGTATAAAATAAAACCTTGCATTGTGCGTGTATAATATTAAACTGTTTAAATGTATTCGAAATCGCACAATATAGAATCAGTGTTTTGTCACAGTTTTATACAAATTATATGAAACACGCATTAATTACTCATTACGGATAGGATTTACCTTGAAGAAGCAAGTACATATTGCGAATTGCAAATCCTCAAGTATTCTCTTACTCGTCTCGATATGCATGCTGTACCACTCTATGCACAATTCATAAATATGCACAGCATTTCTCAATCTTTCACTGTGCTCTTAACATTACGTTCACTAGCTGTGTGCAACTGAAGTTATTAAATGAAACAATAGTAAAGTAGTGACGATTCAAATCAGATCCAGTATATCGGGATAGGTGTTTAACAAACAGCAGAATGCGAGAAAAAAATCTTTGAGAAGACGATTGGGAAGCGCTGGTCAAATTTGAGTGTGCTTTCGAGTATCATAAATTATAGTCCATAGTGTTAAAAGATGGTAATGAAAGAATATTGAATTTTTTAATTAGGACTAGGCGGCAGGTACGAGGCTTTGCCTCTGGAAACAGCAACCACATTCGATTATAAACAACGGAAAATATTCCAACAATACATTTTTACTTCGTACGACGTACATACTTCTATGCCTATTGATTTGTTTTAATTCTTATCCAAATCTCGTTTACTAATTTATTGCAAAATTATGGCATGAGTGAGAATTATTATTTCTATCGTGTTACTTTTTATTTATATCTAATGATTATAGAATTGCTTGACTCCCGCTCTTCGAGAGACTCTGCGAGTTTTGGAAATTATTTTCAATTTCCTATCATCATTATTTAAAAGTATGCTTAACAATGGTATGAACGGAATTTGTAAATATTTTAATTTCTAAGTATAAATTTGATAACGTGATAATTGTAGGCACGTAGCACAGTTACGTTCTATAGGTACATATATATATATATATTCACAAATGATATTACAGGATTAATTTGTGAGCTATTATTTTCAGTACATATTTTTAACACGATTAAACATTTTGACATAATTTAGGAAGAATGTTTGTAACGTCTAGTGCAAATTTAGCTTTTAGAGTAAGTTAGATACATGTCTATTTTTAATAACAAAACGAATGAATTTTCTCATGCGTCATGAAGTAGTTCAGTTTTATACTTCGAAACATGTAAGTTATTGGTACTAGATATTTTACCATAATTTGTGTGCTTTCATGCCACTTGCATAATTTTAAATAGCTTCGGATCTCTGAATATTTATACAAAGTAGAAAATATACTAACACCGCTAAATAAAATGTATTAACTAATAAGAAAATTTGTCGATACTTATTAGATTTCGCTTAAATGTATCAAAATAAAAATTATTCAAATGATATTTCAATCGTATTGTTAATACCAAACTGATTGTAAACTGGATTTTCAAATGACGCTGAAATCCAAATAATAGCAATTAATAGAATATTTGTAACATAAATTTGTAAAATTAAATTTAAATATTTGTAAAATAAAGCTATTGTAAACAGTCTTTAAGTGTGTATTCGCATTCGAATTCATCAAATTTATTCTACCTGTGGAGTGGTGTTTACCTGTAAGAGACAAAGGTAGGTTAATCTTATTTTAGAGATTTATTTATGAAACGTTCATTTTTACACGAACAATGAGTACTTGGCTGATTGAAATGTTCTATGTATTTTTCATACAACCAGAATTCTAGCATAGTAAACACTACTTTGGATCCCTATAAAGAAACTGTCTTACTTCCTAATGCAAAATGTTTTGCTATGTATTGTACCAATAATGATAATGATGACGTTATGTGTTGCAATAATGACGAATACAATATAACAGGATCATAATGAG